CTCCTTCCTTCCTCCCTCCCTCCCTTCCTTCCCTCCCTCCCCTCCTTTCTTCTCTTCCCTTCCCCTCCCTCCCTTCCTTCCTTCCTCTCCCTTTTTTTCTCCCTCCATCCTTTCTTCCATTCATCTGTCCATCTTTTTTTCAACTGACCCATCCATCTTCCATCCATTCTTCCATCTATTAATCCATTCATCCACCTTTCCATCCATCAATCCAACACGTATTTATTGAGCACCTGCAGTGTCCTAGGCCTGCCCTCTGCATGGTGATATTTCTACCTAGTCTAAGAGGTACAGACTCAGGGGTTAAACTTTTCCTTTACCTTTCTATGAACTTCAAATAGTCAAGGCTGTACAGTAGCTTCAAGGCGCCTGAAGTTTTTCAGAAGCAGGCAGCGGGATCAGAAATCTCAGAGTGAACTGGGCCACCTGAAGTTGTTTTCATGATAACAATAACGAGGATTCCCTTGGGCCAGCAATGATTCCAGTGTGAGTCAAGCACCAAGGAAGGCTTGAATCACAGCTATTTTCCTTTAATGTTCCCCTACAAGATGCCCTAGTTTAATCATGTGAGTGGAATTAAGCCTGAACAGCCCAAAACAGAGTAATTAATTATGTCCTGATTCAGTTACAGTAACTAATTGAATGCCTGAGGCAGTCACTTGCACCACAGCACAGGAGTTGGGGCCCCACTGGCCTCTTGATTTAACGCTTGCCAGAATCTGGACAAACTCTGGCTTAACCTCTCCTGCCTCACAATCTCAGTATGCCGCACCCACGGTCAGCTGGGCTGTGAAGACCATGGGCCACTTGGTCTCCACAAGGAGGTCACCACCCCCTGCTGGAGAGGGAGATTGGACGCCCTGGCCGCCTCTGCCAAGGGAGCCCGTCTCGTTCCTCAGCTTAGCAAAAGCCACGTGCTAGTTCAGTGGTCTACACCCTTACTTCACATTATCTTTAGGAGAGCACAGTGCCAGGGGCCCAGCCCAGGCCAAGTGACTCAGAATGTTCAGGGATGGGGCTCAGGCAAGTATGTCTGACAGGTCATCGTAGTGGGCAGGTGGGTTGAGACCCACGGGGCTTCCCTGGCCCAGAAGGTGGCTGGATGGGGAGCTTTCTTAGCAACTATCTACTTTCTAGAAGGTCATGGTCTAAACAAGGTCCTTAGGAGGAGAGCTCCTACTCTCGTTCTAGTCCAGAAGGAGACCATTGTTACCACAAGGCCCACAGCTTCCTTCCTGAACCCCAAGGGGAGGTGGGTGCCCCATCAGCAAACTCCCCGGGCTTCTTCCCTAAGCACCCCCTTGCCCTTGCCCCAGGCCTCTCTCTGGTGGTGGGCCTGGTGCTCTACATCTCCAGCATCAACGATGAGATGCTCAACAGGACCAGGGACACGGAGACCTATTTCAACTACAAGTATGGGTGGTCGTTTGCCTTCGCTGCCATCTCCTTCCTGTTGACAGAGGTAACCTTCCCCCAGCAGGC